ATGGTCAGGGGTCCCTTTACCTTTACCTAAGCTGCACTGAACTCAGTGGGACATACTGCTGAATGGGAATGCATAGGATTGCATTGTTAATTGCCTATTCACCTTATCTCTCTCTTTCTTACTTTTACACACACACACACACACACACACACACACACACACACACCCCTGTAGAATTAAAACATGTCACACTGCCCACACCCAACTTTATGAAGCACATTTCTAACTTCTTGGCACACACTTCTAAAAATGGTTTGGAGATTGCATAGGTTATCAATGAATTCCCCAAATCTTAAAAACAGTTTGACAATAAATCTTCATCCTGATTCTAATTTCAGTGTCTGGTCAGGGCTCAGGAAAATGAGGGACAATTTCTGCTTTAATAATTTGTTTGGTGTGATTGGTCTGGCAGTTGACTCTTTCTTCAACACTGGTGATACGGCAGCTCCTCCACTGAGGCTGGAGGCAAGCTGGCTAACTTAAGGGTGTGGGGGTCAGGTACATGGCTTGGCTGTAGGATGGGTTAGAAATCTGATGCAGTTTGCATTTACACTTCCTCCAACCTAATTCATACTTTTCAAGATGGTAAATGAATCAAAATGTAACCAGCCTTTGGAATTTGAACTTTTTAAAATTTTGCAGTGCACTTCACTAGTCAAGTAATGTGTACCAAAAAATGCATATAGAAAGGTAACTTGTGCATAAGAATGCACATAGGTGAAAACGTATTATATGAAGAGATAATTGCTTTGTAAAAATGTGAATATTAGGCAAATGTGCATGCAAACACATGTCTATTAGGATAAATTTGCTGGTGAATTTTCATTAGGACTTGAACAGAATTGCAACTGATGGGCAAATGGAGAAGTGAACTGAATATTGGAGAAAAAAGAGAAACTGAAATTGACAGATTTGCCCATACTTATTTGGCCCCCACAACTTTGAACGTTTAGCATTCCCTGCTCCATTGCATTAACCTCATTGATGAGAGCACCATAAACAGATAAGTGCAGAAATGGCATAAGTGGCAGATTTCCTCCCTCGGTTTTGTAGGGGTTTCATATTACTTTTTCCGGCATAGTGATCAGTATGTTCATTGGTCACCAGCAAGTTAAAAACTGTGAGAATGGCCACTCAGTTTAATTTATTTCAGCTTCCTGACCAACATTGAAATGAACCTTGTCTAGACTCATCAAGAAATCTTAGTTTAAATCAGCCAAGATGCATAAATTCATATGAATGTTTTCAGATGCAAATGTGTCATAGTAGGCAACCTCTTAGAAATATATATTTTTTATTCTCTGTGAGAAAAAAGAGGGAAAATACAACGTTAAGAAGGTGCTACCAATTGTAGTTTTATAAGTGTGTGTCTGTTGCTACCCAGTTAATTGGGCGAAAGATTCTTCCCTTGCAGGGAGTTGGACTAGATGATTATCGTGGTCCCTTCCAATTCTACAATTCTATGATTCTAAGTTCCCAACCCTGACTCAGCCCCAATACACCATTGTAACTTGCTCAGCCTAGTGCAGTTGGCTGGGCTGAATCTGGTTGTGCTAAGGATGGTTTAAGCCCCCAAAAGGGGCATTCTGGGTGTGGTGTGACCAGACTTAGGCTGAATCCTAAAACCATTCAGCTCTGTTATATGTCCCAACACAGAACAGCATTTTAAAAGCTTGTTTTCTGCGATCCAGGCTTTGGCAGAGTAGCAGTAGCCCCTTCGGATCTGGTGTAACTTTACAACAGCTTAGCTTACACTGGCTTGCTTTATGTCTGCTTATTCTTGTGCTTGATATTGCTCCTTTAATATTTGCACTACTGGAAAAACTGATTTGAAGACAAGTTTCTGAAATGAAGTATCTACATTTTCTTTCTGGATGCAAGTATTATTCCTGTTGCTCCCTTCTCCATCCTAGTTTTTGCCTTGATCAACATATTTTTATATTATCAGCCGTATCCCTGCCCATTTATTTGTTATCATGTTGTATCTTTTAACATGTAAGCCTGAGGGCTAAAACTTCTGATCTTTGTAAGCTACCTCGGGAACATTTGTTTTAGAGTAGGTAGAGATAATGCACTCATATTCATGGGTACAAGCTATCTCATGTTCCAACAGTGCTTTGGAATCCAATCTATTTTTTTACAAAATCTTTCAATGTCATCTCTCTAGGATAACTGTAATGACAGGGATTTTGGTATGCCCTCTTTCTGGCAGTTCTTGAATGAATTGATTTTAACAATTCTGTCAGACAGGGTTAGTTACTTTCCCAATGCTTCTAAGCATATTACTGGAACAAAAGTCCAACATTTGATTACAAATGGCTCAAACGTTTGCTAAATGCAGCAAGCTTTTGATATTACAGATTCACAACATACATTTAAAGCACACACATTTAAAACACATGACTTCCCTTAAAGAGTCATGAGAACTGCAGCTCCCCCCCCCAGAGTTATGATTCCCAGCATCCTTAACAAAGCTGCATATTTTATTTCACTCATATCTTATTTTTATTAGACTCATACCTACCAGTAAAAGCAAACTTTTGAATTACGTGAAACCTCATAATAGGCAAAAAATAATAATATTTTTGAGTTTTGTGTAATAGAGAAACTAGAATTTACCATATGCTGTTTCAAGATAAGGCATTCTATTTGTTCGGTTACCAGCAGCATTATTTTAATTTAATTTATTACCTGCCTCTCACTGTAAGGTCACAAGGCAGGTTACAGCTATTTAAAAGCCTACAATTAAAAAATGCAATCATAACAATATTACCTTTTAAAAATAAACATTGGAAGTGCAGGAAAACAAAGGTCAAAATCTGTTGACCCTGTACAGATAGATATACAGTATGCTTGTCAAGTTCTACAAATGTTAGGAATTTTGTTTTATTTTTTCAAAATGAAAGTTTGGAATCAGGATTATGGTTCATCTAGGGTGAAGTTACATTCCAAGTAGGTGAGAGCTCCACAGTTCACCCAGGAACAGCCCCATTCCCCAAGCATCCTGCATACTTATTTCAACCTTCATCAACCTGGTGCCCACCGAATACAGCTGGACTACAGCTGTGCTGCCTTGGGCTGGTGGGAATTGGGAGTCCAGCAATATCTGGAGAGCACAAGGTTGGAGATAACTGCCTTATTGCTTAGCTTGGGGCTTAGCAATGCAGCTGAGCCCATGAGTTACTTTTTGTAAGGTCTTTCAGCTTGTCTTCTAGGTCAAAAGCCCTCAAAAAGGCAACTTCCATAGATGATGCTTCTATCAAAAATAGAGCAAGACAAATGAGGCATCCTGCAGCAGAATAGACCCGAGGAATTGGGGAGCCAGCAATACGTAATGTTGGTGAAGTCCTCAGACCCTCCAAGTGTCCCTATTTTCCAGGGACAGTCCTGGATTTACAGAAGCTCGTCCCGGATTCTGATTTGATCCTGGAATGTCTTGCTTTTCCTTAAGGTGTCCCTCTTTTCATCAAAGGTTTGTTGGAGGTTATGGTAGGATGTCCCTATTTTAAAGGAAATAATTTTGATTAAAGATTTTCACGAATTATAAAAGAACGTGCAATGTCTCTCTTTGTTGTTGTTCAGATTATAAAGCCTTTTGGTTACGTTCAATGTAAGACAATATGGTATCCAGAGATGTTTTAGGCCGGGTATGGAGTTATGTGACCCCAGACCAGTCTGAAGGCAGCCCTGTATAGGGAAGTTTTTAAATGTTTAATTATGTTTTTATATATGTTGGAAGCTGCCCAGAGTGACTGGGGCAACCCAGTCAGATGGAAAATAATAATAATAATAATAATAATAGGTGCTTTTTCTGGGGGGAAATAGGGGAACTCACCATGAAGTTTGTTTTATTTCTTGTGAGCCCAGCTGCACTGCTGCATATAACCTCCACCCCCAAGCAGTGGCTAAATGTAAAATGTGATTAGTAAACTCAAGCAGACAATGATCTGGATTAGAAATGGCCACAACTTTATTGATTAACGATATAGGTGGATTTCTGGCTCAGAAATCTGTTTCAGACCCACCAGAACATAATAAAATTAATTAGTTTTAACGTTCCTACTAAAAAAAACAACTAATAATAATAATAGAAGAATACGGTGTCCCTATTTTCACTGGAGAAATGTTGGAGTGTGTCAAGTCCTGAGAACTGAGGTGTTTTTAGAACGAGCGTTTTGCATGTGGTAAAAAAAAAAATGAATGCATGATGCGCACAGACCAGGCAAAAAGAAGCCAAAATAAACTCTTAAAAGGCAGAAAGCGGGTAAAGGAGGCCACACAGCCGTCTCTCAACCTGCCCCTGACGCCGGATGAGGAAGGGGACGGGACTTTTGAGCCGCTTCCCTTCCCTTCACCAGCGCGCCAAGAGCCCTCGAGTGGCGCCTTCGAGAGAAGGCGGGAATAAATCATCGTCAGGATGCAGAGCGCGGAAATTGCTCCACAAGCTCGCGTGGAGCCGCCCAAGTTGCAAGTCGGGGGTGGGGGGGCAGCCTAGGGATATCGATGGGAGTTTGCCGCCAAAAGTGTAAGCCCCCCCTTTTCTTTTTTTATTTTAAATACCCACACACGCCGCGACTTATAAGCCTCCCTCAGACACGCTCTCAGACACGCATCAGCCGGGCAAGGAATGGCCTGGTGGTCCCTTCAATTTTGACCTCCTAAGAGGGAAATTTTTATTTTATTTTTTAAAAAAAACCCAGTTCTCAATTCTACATGGTGCACGAAGGCTCTTGGCGGGAAACAGGCTAAAACCCCCGGGCAAGTTGCCTGCTCGCCCCCCGTGGCATGAGACCTTGCAGGATGAAACTGTAGGTGACGCGGTTGCTTTTAAAATCGGCCCTGCTTCTGCCTCGAAGCAGCATTTTCTCGGGCCGTGGGTGGACTGAAAAAACCGTCCCTCTTTTTTATGCACAAATTCCCCTAAACCAAGGCAGAAGGGAGAAATCCAGTTTCACGTTCTTCCCCCCCCCCCAAAAAAGAATAAGGGGAGGAAAAGGGTACGCCATCCTGTTTCCCTTCTGCCCGTGGGTCAGCGGTTTCCACAACGCTGAATTTTATAGTATTATTTTTGTTCAGTTCCACCTCATGCATGGGCTTTCTGGGTGGCTCCCTATCCTTTTGCTGCCTCAGTTTCCCCATCTGTAAACGAGTTTTATTGCAATGCGCTCCCTCCCCTTAAGCGGGGGGGGGGAGTGCTTAGAAGCCCTCTTTCTCTCACAAAATGGCTCTTAACGGCGCCTTAAGAGCACGGGACGAGCGGCTGAATAACCTAAAATTTAAAAAGAAGCCCATGCAAACAAAAGAAGAAAAATGAATGGCGGGGAAGGAGGGAGGAAAGAAAGAAAAGAAAACCTCCAGAGAGTGCGCGCGGGGAAAAGCAGGTTTGCCGCCTTTCCCCCACCGTGGACCACCCACCCTCAGACCCCCCGAAATGCGGGTGCAAAAGCAAGACGCAAGTCGGAGGAGGCGAGCGAGTGCAAGCACAAGGAGAAAAAATGGGTTTGTTTGTTTCTTCTCTCTCTCTCTCTCTCTCTCTCTCTTCCCCCCCTTTTCTTGAATGAACGGCGAGGTGGGGCCAGAGGGAAGCCGCCCCATTTGCTGAGCCCCGGAGCGTGAGAGCGGCTCGCCTCGACTCTCCGCCCCCTTGGGCTTCTGCATCGAGTGCGCTTCCCCTGCCCCCGGGACCTCCCCAACAGCCGCCGGAGCGCCGAGCCGAACGCAGCTCAGCCAGCGCATCCAATCTGCAGCCCGGGCTGGAGAAGGAGGAGGCGCCTCGTGACTGGGAAGCATTGCGCGGCTGCCCGGGGTAGCAAGGGCAGTGGGGGGTGGGGTGGGGGGTGGCGGCCAGGACCAATTAATACCTCTGAGACACGCCCCTTTGCCTCCTGGGATCTCTTCCTCCTCTCCCTATATATTACACACACGCGCGCAACACAAAAAAAACCTGTGCTGTTTTTTTAATGGTGGGGGGTACTGTATTTTCCTCTCCCCATCCGGAGTTTAGCAATAGAAAAGGTGGTTCATTCCACATTTGCGCGCGCGTGTGTGGCATCTAAGTGGAGGGAGATCCGCGTCTGAATGAAACATTTTTTTCAAAGAAATCTAAACAGCCGGGATTTAAACATGAGGTTTTTTTTTTATGATGCTTTTCAGAAATTTCCTCGTTTTCGTCCTGGGGCTTTTCCTGAAATTCAGCGGCAGGGATTGCTGAGACTTGGGGCATAGCTTTGGAAATGTCATTCAAACGGGAGCCTTGTGAGTCTTTCTGGAAATCATAGCAACTCAACGGTATCTGAAGATCTTCCACACTCTTCCCTTATTCTTTTTCTCCCCCCCCCACCCCACTTTTTGGGGGGAATCATCAAAGAAACTACTGCATTTCATTTTTGTAGAGGACCTGAGACTGTTTGGATTTATTTATTTATTTTCCCTGCAAGGAAACTTGACAGAAAAGTAGATTTATTTCAAGTAAGTGTTTTGTGTTTGTTTTTTTTCCACAGGCAATTTGCTTTGGGTAACTTTATTTCATTTCGTGGTGGTTGGTTCCCTTTAAGCACTGGTTGAGGGTCTTTAGTTGAATGTGCTTTGCATGAATTTGCATTAGAGGTTGCTCTGCTTTAGTAAATCACATATTGGATGTCAGGAGGTTTATTTTGTTTGTTTGGAATGTGTGCCCAGCAGTCTCCTTCATTCATGTCCTAGTCTATAGCAGCATGTAGGAGGGGTGTGTGTGTGTGTGGAAATGCACCTGACTTTGAATAAGCATCTGATTTTCTTATTTCAGATGCATTTCAACACAGAGGACGGAACGCCTCTGCAAATACGCTTCATAATAAATATTACATGTGGAATACAGTACTGGCTGCATTTTAAATCCGGTTTCCACCGTGCATCGCAAACTGAGGAGGGAAACACTGGGAAGGCGGAAATACCTTTGAGACCCTGAGGACTCCCCCATACCTCAACCAATGGAACTGCATAGAATAAAACAACTGGATTATATATAAACACTGGCACTTAACGATTACTGGCTGCTTTATTTTTTGGGGGGCGGGAGGGGGGACACTCCATCCGCTTCTGCATATATTTTTCCCCTCCTTTCCCCTACTCCTTGCTATAAATGATGGCTCAGACTGGGATAAGAGGTTACGACACAAGAGAGATAGTGCAGACGTACATCCATTACAAGCTGTCGCAGAAGGGATATGACTGGGTTGCCAGTGAAGACAGAGAAGACCTTCCTTCTCCTCCTCTTCCTCCAGATCCTCCTGCTGCAGAGACCTTCCCTAACCTTGCTAGGCTGGCATCTCATCCTTCCGAGCTGCCTGTAAGTAACGTCGCCCCGGCTGGCGGACCGCACCCTGTGCCACAGGTTGTCCACGCGACTTTACGTCAAGCCGGGGATGAGTTTTCGCGGCGTTACAGGAGGGACTTTGCTCAGATGTCTGGACAGCTGCACTTGACCCCGGTCACTGCCAGAGCTCGCTTTGCGGCAGTTGTCGAAGAGCTCTTCCGAGACGGGGTGAACTGGGGGAGGATTGTGGCGTTCTTTGAGTTCGGTGGCATGATGTGCGTGGAGAGCGTCAGCCGGGAGATGTCGCCCCTTGTGGACAATATCACAGTGTGGATGACTGACTACCTGAACGGGCACCTGGACAACTGGATCCAAGACAATGGAGGCTGGGTATGTTATTCTCTGTGTTTCCATTTTCAAATGCGTTCATTACCACTATTTCAATATTACACCTTACCTATGTGCTTGCAGTGGGGGTCAAAGCTAGCTTGCCTGGCTAGCTGTTTTCCAAGCGTGGTTGTTGCCAGTAGAATTCACGGACTCCGGTACTTAATTGTTTCTGGCAGTTTGCTTGTCCTGGTCCAAAATGTGATAACCGCTTACCATAGACCTGCCAGGTGTTCGATAGAAGAGGACCTACACTGTATCATTCCTATCTCCAGTGCGCCAGACTTTAAAAGTCAGTTGCCGTGTTGAAAGTAGATGTTTAAAAACTGAGGTGTTTCAGCAGTGATAAAGTTCCCATAAATCTCTCTAGCCTGTAGGTGACTGTGTTGCGCTTTTCTCTCTCAGGTTACAGTGAGAACTCCCCATCTTGTTTCAATCAAGGTTTAATCGCTGATGTCATTCATAGGTTGTGTGAAATTTGCTGGTAAAATGAGGTCACAGTTTAAGCATGAGAGAGGAAAACTAATGAGGGGGAAGCTAATTCACGTCATGTGTGGCCTATTTATTGGTTGTGCTTGCAGAGGAAAAATGCTACTGAAATTGTATTATGACTACATAGCCCAGTGGAACCCTCATTATCTGCACCTTGTTTATTTTAGACCATGTCTTGCACAAGTGTGTGTGTGTGTGTGTGTGTGTGTGTGTGTTTGCATGCGCGCCACAACCCTTGCAGGTACCCCTCACAACACTTCTGTTGTTTCTGTTTATCTTTCTATTTGGGAGAAAAATGAAATTCTACATGGATGTCTTTGCATATGGTGCACAGTCAGGTTAAGCAGGTGACACTTGTATTGATGGGTAAAGTTTTTACAAGAAGGAAAGCAGATATATTTACATATATATATTTATAGCAGCTGATATAACGAAATAAGTTTTTTGTTTACTTTCTTCTAAAAAAAATATTCTCTAGAGTTCTTTGAAGGGGAAAGAAGAAATGAACACCTTTTAGGAAATCTGCAAATAGGTTTCTTTTCGTGACCAGTTCTTGGAAAGTGTAGGGCTTTTGTTGTGATTGAGTGCGGTTCTTAAAGAAATTGAAATCTGCGTATAGAAATTAGTGATGGCAGAGAAAGTGGAAGTGTTCTGGAAGGGTGAACTCTGCCATATGAAGATCATATGCTGTCTTTTCACCTGTCCTTAACAATGTACCCTAATCCTTTTCCGTCTTGAATAAGTATCTCTTTGCACATAATTGTTTTATGAATCAGTTAACCAGTATGTCTCATCTTTTTGCATCATTAGATTAAACCAGTGATTCCCAACCGGTGGGTTGGGCTGCAGACACTAGTGAGGTGTCCTCATGGTAGAAAGAATGGAGTTGTAGACAAAGTAAAACTAGAAACACAGAGTTAAAGGAAGGGTAACTTTTGTGTATGAGACTGAGACCAAAGGGTGGGCTTACTTTGTTTATGAACTTACGCTTCATAAATAGTCAAGCCATGTTAATAGTACATACCCCCATTTTCTGTTGTTGAGAGAGACAAAGATATATGCTCTGCAAATGTCTCCTATTGTTATAAAAAAAGAAATATAAATCATTTTAAAACAGAGTACAACCTAACATTGACCTATTTTATTCATCCAACTGTGTAGAGAGTAGTAAGCTTCCATATTACTCACAAGGCTGCCTTCACACCAAAGTATTTGGAAAGGAAGGAAAATCCATTTTTTAATCTCTGCTGTTTTTTCTTGTGGACCTGCACAACATCTTCTCTCCACCTCTTGTTGCTAATGGATGCGCCACCTTAGTTTTTACCTCAATAGATTGTTTCAGTGCCAGCAACCTAATACCATATTTTGTACCTCTTAGCAGAACTTAGGGCAAACAGATGGACACTGCCTTCAGTGCAACTTCAGAGCTCTTAATGGGATGCACATTCTTTAGAGATGTTCCATGTATTTGCAGGAAGACAAGCTGGTGCGCATATTTAGGATCAGGATGCATGTATGTGCTCTGCCACATCAAGTGGTGACTCTTACGTGTGAAGAGGCCACCACAGAGGAAGCTTCTCCTCACATCACCTCAAACACAATTCTCTTTGGTTCGCACATTTAGCTGCCAGCCACCAGATGCACAGTAATCAAATGATACACATATATATGCATGTTGGACTGTGCCCTAGTTTTGAAATAAATGCCTTCTTTCAAAATAAACTCCCTTTATTCAAGGAAGCTGGATGTATTCTGGAACAAAGAACATCCTTTAAATTAAACGTATCCAGAACTGCTATACTTAGTGTGCCTCAACTCTATATTTTGGAAGTGTTTTTCTCCTAGAGAGCAGTTCTTCTTTTTATTCTTCCTTCCACCCCAAACTGGTTATTATTCACCAGAGGAAAGAGAAACATGTGACTCACTTTCTGGGTGGCACATGAGAACACAAATGATTAGCATGCCAGCTATAATACCACAGTATTGCTCTTGCAAACAAGACATAAATCACAGTAGAAACTTAATATGGACTGCAAGGCACTAATATGTAGCTTTCCCCGTATTCAGTAAATGTACGTTTCCCAACCGGACAGTTTCGTTTTAATTTCCAGTGTCTACCACCTCCCCCCTACCCCCAAATACTGTATGCTTATAATAAAGAATGACTTTCTTTTGAAGTGATGAAAGCAGACAAGCTGTTCATGAATTAGGAATCTGACTTGATCTGAAAGGTGATTACCTTTGGGCAAACTTGTATTTTTCTTGGAAGGCACTTTCCTCTGCAACTGAAGTGTGGAGATGCTTGAGTATACTGCATGTCGGCAACTCTCAGAGTGCTGCTCTTCAGAGCCCAGCATGTGGCTCTTCTTAAGGGTTTGAGGTGTTCCAAAGGGCGGGGGGGGGAGGGGGGGAGTAACCTTAAAACCAACAGAAATGCATTTAAGTATATTTATGCAGTTAAGTGACAAGTCTACATTTGTATTAGTAGCCTGTTACATGGGGGGACGGGACTCCTTGTTTTTGCCTGCATGCATGGCATAGTCTTCGGAACATTTCTTAGCTGGAAGGTATTAGCTAGAAGATACCTGCATGCTCAGTACCTAATACTTTACTTTACCTAAAAACACACCTACTAGTGAGCAAACAGCCCTGCCAAATCAGACAAAAGGCATGTCAAATCCAACACTTTTCACACAGTGACAATTCCTATGGCAAACCCACAAGACAGTGTTGGTTATTTCTACTGGTTTCAGATCTCATTGGGGTATCTTTTTTATCTACTGATAGTCATCTCAGTTCTTTAACACTGCTCCTTAAATTGCATCATCCATGCACAAAAGGACAATGCCAGCTGGTTTGCAGGAACCCCTAAGGCTTGCAAACTTAAAACAACTCAGGTGGGAAGAAGCCCAAAGACAACTGTTGGCCAACTGTTGGGGTGTGTGTGTGTAAAACCTGGAACAGGAGATGGAATGGATTGGCCGGAACACTGAATAGAAGCCCTCTACAGATTTTGGTGGAGTCACCACTTGTTTGCTTTCTGTAGCACTTTGGTGAATGCAAAGTTCTTTTACCAAGCAACAACTTGGTGGAATGAGTTAGGCAACACAGCCAACATTTATACTGTGTCCAGAGCCACCATCTATTCTGTCTTTGGAATAGAATTTTGGCATGTTGAGGAGATATAGCTACAGGAATTTAGGTAAGGTTTCCTCCCCAAAAAATAGTCCTGGGAATTGTAGGTTGGTGAAGAATGTTAAAGATCCTTTCGAACTGCAGTTTCCTAACAGCGATGTGGGGCTTTTCCATAGAAAAATTTCAGGTGTGTATGTTTTGTTAGGAACAATGTATGGTTTAATAATAATAATAATAATAATAATAATAATTTATTATTTATACCCCGCCCATCTGGCTGGGCCTCCCCAGCCACTCTGGGCGGCTTCCATAAAAACCAAAAATACAGTAAAATCACATGTTAAAAACTTCCCTGAACAGGGCTGCCTTAAGATGTCTTCTGAATGTTAGGTAGTTGTTTATCGCTTTGACATCTGCTGGAAGGGCGTTCCACAGGGCGGGCGCCACTACCGAGAAGGCCCTCTGCCTGGTTCCCTGTAGCTTTGCTTCTCGCAATGAGGGAACCGCCAGAAGGCCCTCGGCGCTGGACCTCAGCGTCCGGGCAGAATGATGGGGGTGGAGACGCTCCTTCAGGTATACTGGACCGAGGCCGTTTAGGGCTTTAAAGGTCAGCACCAACACTTTGAATTGTGCTCGGAAACGTACTGGGAGCCAATGCAGGTCTTTTAAGACCGGTGTTATATGGTCTCGGCGGCCGCCCCCAGTCACCAGTCTAGCTGCCGCATTCTGGATTAATTGTAGTTTCCGAGTCACCTTCAAAGGTAGCCCCACGTAGAGTGCATTGCAGTAGTCCAAGCGGGAGATAACCAGAGCATGCACCACTCTGGCGAGACAGTCCGCAGGCAGATAGGGTCTCAGCCTACGTACCAGATGGAGCTGGTAAACAGCTGCCCTGGACACAGATTTGACCTGTGCCTCCATGGACAGCTGTGAGTCCAAAATGACTCCCAGGCTGCGCACCTGGTCCTTCAGGGGCACAGTTACCCCATTCAGGACCAGGGAATCCTCCACACCTGCCCGCCTCCTGTCCCCCAAAAACAGTACTTCTGTCTTGTCAGGATTCAATCTCAATCTGTTAGCCGCCATCCATCCTCCAACCGCCTCCAGACACTCACGCAGGACCTTCACCGCCTTCACTGGTTCTGATTTAAAAGAGAGGTAGAGCTGGGTATCATCGGCATACTGATGAACACCCAGCCCAAACCTCCTGATGATCTCTCCCAGCGGCTGCATGTAAATGTTGAAAAGCATGGGGGAGAGGACAGAACCCTGAGGCACCCCACAAGTGAGAGCCCAGGGGTCTGAACACTCATCCCCCACCACCACTTTCTGAACACGGCCCAGGAGGAAGGAGCGGAACCACTGTATGACAGTGC